GGCGCGCTTAGCCACACAGAAGCTAAGTCGCCCCGGTACCCGCGTATCCAATAAAACCTCTTGCGGTTTTGCATCCAAGTCCGTGGTCTCGCTGATTCCTGGGTGCGGGTCTCCTTCTACAAAAGTACCTCTTCTGAGGTCTTTCACCAGGAAGGGGAAATAGTTAGGATCTCCTGGGTAAGCTGGGAGGGAGGTAAAAAGGAGGAGATGGGGGATGGGAATATGAAGGATGCAGATGGCCAAGTTGGGGGAGGGACTGACACACTACAATTTCATCTATTTATCCACTTACCATCCATCCACCCTCAGGGAAAGTTGCATCAGAAAAAGCCTTTTCCTCCTTTACTTTCATCTTGGACTTGAACTTGAAAAATGCACAGGGTGAATTAAAGTAGACAGGTGTGAGGAACTCCCAGGAGGACTGAAGTATCATTTGTATTCCCTGAATTAAATTTCCTACGGGATTAGGCATTATAGTTCCTCTAAATAAAATCTATCACTAAAAACATTTTCTGAAAGTAAAATGTAAATTGGGTTTTACCTGCTTTATTGAATATTTCCCTTTTGTTCTTGGATTTTTAAAGACTGGGTTTCTCTGTGTAGCTTTGTAGACCCCAGGCTGGCCTTGAACTCATAGAGATCAGCCTGCCTCTGACTTCTGAGTGCTGGTACTAAAGGCAAGCGACACCACTGCCCAGCTTTGCATATTTCTACATGCTATATAGAGAGGAGAGGACAAATACATGGAAGGGAGTAGAAGACAAGTGTGACCCTGAAGTAGACTCACTCAGAATCAAATTGCTCCCACTTGAGTTTTCCACAATACAATCAATTTTTTTTTTCTTTTTCGAGACAGGGTTTCTTGGTGTAGCTTTGGAGCCTTTCCTGGCACTCGCTCTGGAGATGGGGCTGGCCTTGAACTCACAGAGATACGGCTGTCTCTGCCGCACAATACAACTAAAATAACTCATTAAATTACCTGAATCGCAGTGTCCCATGAAAAACCCTGGATGTTATTGAATGACCGACAGATAATCCACCAGAGCTGATGCCAGAAAGGGGTGACACAGGTGACATCCTCCAAGGCTGGGCTCCTCTCTGCATTCTGTTCCTCCAAGAGTGAAACCAGTTGAGTTCTCATTTCACTGTATAAGGAGGACTGGGTATACATATTGCTTAAATTTTCTGTGACTTGGTGCTGTCTCCCAGAAAGTTCTTTGTATTTGTCATCTTTAGGATAAAAGTGCATAAAGACAAGAAACAGACAATAATTTAACTGATTTTTCTGACATACTTTTCATAAATTATGTACCAGTTTTTCTCTAAGACAGTCTCATGTACTGGCCTCGAAGATGCTAGGAAGCCAAGGGTGGCCTTAAACTTCTTCAGGTCCTCCAGTTTCTGTCTCAAGCACTCTGATTACAGGCATGCACCTTCACACCCAGTTATATGGTGCTAGGAACCAAACTCAAGTCTTTGTGCAATCTACACAAGCATTCTACCAGCCAAGCTACATCTTCAACCTACCACAATTTGAGCATAATAAAACTAGTCCTGTGTAATTCCCTTACAGATTGGAAAAGTGTCCCTAACTGACCTGACTACTGTCATTATCCCATGGGACAGCTAACTGAGTGGCCTTTTCCCATCCCTGATTCTTAACAAAGTCCTTCTTCCCTGATGGATATACACGTCTTAACCTACAAGTCTGGTCCCTGCTCTCTGCTTCAAATGAATGTACATACAAATGTATAAATCTCCAAATATCTGGTTTTTAATATGTTATAGACAAAGCCAGACATGGTGACATAGCCCTGTGTATTAGTTAGGGTTTCTATTGCTGTCATGGACCACCATGAACAAAAGCAAGTTGGGGTGGTGCAAGGTATCTCACTTCTTCTTCTGCATGGTGGTGCATCACTGAAGAAGTCAGGACAGGAACTCACACAGGACAGGAACCTAGAGGCAGGAGCTGATGCAGAGCCATTGAGGGTGCTGTTTATATGACTAGCTCCCTGTGGTCTGCTCTTCCGGTATTCTTATGGAAGCCAGAACCACCAGCCCAGAGACAGCCCTACACACAATGGACTGGGCCCTTCCCCATCTCTCACTAATTAAGCAAATGCCCTGCAGGCTTGCCTACAGCCCAATCTCAGACTTCAACTTGTATCAAATTGACATAAAATTAGCCAATTTACCCTGTAATACCTGTACTTGGGATGTGAGTGAGAAGGGGCACGCATTCAGGGCAAGTCTGTCTACAATAAGCAAACTATCTAAAACAATATGAAGAATAATAGGACAAACAATGAGCACATGTACTTTTATGAGGTAAATAAAAAACAGGAAGCACAAACAGAGAGAAAAATCTGCATTAACATAAAAAGCTTTATTCTAAGGAACCACAGTTGTGTTTTAATGAAATCAGTTAGGCAAAAATCTGACTCTAGAAGACTCACATACCTTCATGGCCATCTTCCTCTGTGTCTAATATAGCAGAGAAACCTCCATTAATGATGTCCAGGAAGAAGTCTGCAGGGTTGTTGTGGGAATCATAGTTGTAACCTACAAAGAAGGTAGGCTATGAACACAAACCTGAGGACCCTCTTTCAGAGAGTGGGAAAGGAGAGGGGAGACAGAATCTAAGAACTTCTTCCTCTTCTTCTCCTCTCCCACTAATTTATCCTTTCCTATTATATAACACTCATACTATTTAAAAAATATGTGCTTCCCAGTCTAATGTATATAGACATATTATATGTCTATATTCATTTATGAATTTATACGTGTGATATTCATACGTATGTGAACTCTTCTTATGAAAAAATCATTTGAATGTGGCCTCCATTTTTATAGGACTCCAAAGTCTCACAAATATTTGTATAATTTTAAATGACAAAGATTAATCAAAAACAAATAAGAGTGATAGATGGCAAATATTTAAATCTATATTTAGCATCAAGAAAATCATCCATAAATGTATTCATATTTCACTAAGATGTAACTGGCAGCATGAACCACTAAGAAATATGTCATCATTGAATCTGACTCTGAACAAACCAGGCAGATGACAATCATGAGTCACAACAGTCAGTTTTGAGCCTCTCTAGGAGCCCACATTGCCTAAGCCTGAAACGCAAAGTTACTAAGTTAAGTGCTATCTCCAGCCCCTCCAAGTCAGATCACAAGTGGGGAAAACTGAAAACCACCATCTGCTACTTGAGCAAGAACATGAGGACACTGGGCCTTCCCAAAGCTGTCCCAATGACTGATAACTGGGCCTGAGGCTGGCATGTTAATCAAGAAGGTCACATGACCGGGAAGCAGAACAAGTGGTTCAGTAAAAATACTGTGACACAGGTGTGATACAGGACAGGAGAAAGAAGAGAGACCTGAACAACAAGCCTGTGCCTCACAACTAACAGAATCCTGTCACCACGTCAACCAAAGGTCTTTAATGTGGAGAAACCCACACACAGCATGTCTGCATGAGGGTCAATCCGAAGTCCTGAGAACCCCTGTTCTTCTCCCAGATCCTATGAATGAAGGAGCTCTCACAGCAAAAGCCAGCCATACCTGCAGATGTGAAGTACTCCAAGGCCTCTTGTGCAGGGCCATGAAACATGACTTTTCCTGAGGCCACTAAGGTGAGGCTATCAAAAAATCTGAAGATGGAGTACGGGGGCTGATTAATGGAGAAGATGATTGTCCGTCCCCTCATAGACATCCTAAGTTTAAAGAGGGAAAAACCTAAGTCACTGCACAGAGGAACCTTGACATTCTCTACAAAATGTTTTATTCTGGAAGCTATACTCTTTGTTCCCATTTCAGCTTGAATTTTCCTTAAAACACCTCATCACATTTGTATTATCACCTGATAGGTAGCCAAGCTAAAGCTTTTATTTAAATATTAGGACTTATACTGTGTGGGATGTTAGTAGTCCAGGGTCCACTCAAGTGTTACTGACAATGAAAATCCCTGGCCGTGTTCTAGACACTGAGTTGGAATATCTGGGAGTCAGTGCAAAGAGTCCAAATCATGAACAGGCAGATGAGGTGATGGACAGGTTCACTCATCAATGACAGAGCAAATATTACAACTATGACTGTATGCACAATTCCCTCTAATCATTTACTTTCTGTCTCTTTGGGAACTGGTTTTCACTGTTCTGATAATCTGATTCGAATTCCTAACCTTGCTCTCCCTGCTAAACATTTCAGCAATAACCTCATTTCAATCTTCACAATATCGGCTTAAGGCAATTCTATTATAATTTCACCCTTTTTGGTGATAAGGCTTAGAACTGTGACCAAGGTGTCACAGTTAGGGAGGGGCAAGCCTGGGATTTGATCATTTGTTTAATTCCATGACTGGAAAAAATAAGCTGAACTACCATTTCAGGAAGTTAGGAGAACCAATAACCCAAAACAGTGTTTAAAGCTGCTTTGAAAATATGTTCATAAAATCCGGGTATGATGCATGTCTGTCATGGACTGACCAGCTCAGCTACCACCCAGGCACACATCCAGGGTTCTGAGTTGTCCCATCCCAACATCTACCCCATCTGTGACCTGCTGGAGCTCATGGAGGGACCAACCCTGCAGAGACAAAGGGCCAGGATATCCATGACTCAGGGTAGCAGCAGGATATCCCAGAGGAGTTTCAGTGCGGGTCCAGCATTGGTGGTGTACCAGAAGCCAGAGGCCTTGAACCTCACCAACAACTCATTAATTATGCAATGAGTCAATACTTAAAGCTGTTTAGATGGGAGGGTCCACTCTACGTCATGCTGCAGCTCCCAGTGCCACTACTACAAAAGAAGAGGTGATGGAGGATGGGAAAGACAGGTGAGTGAAGTGTTTGTTTTTCCTTTGCTCTGTTTGCCGGACATTCTGCAGGACACAGAGAAAAATGACAGACAAACTGCCAACACAGACAAACAGTTTAAAACTTCCTACCTTACCGAGAAGGCTGCCAGACACAATATGGCCTACGGGCTGAGATGGATGCCCTAACATTACAGAAGAACCTCAGGTGACTGTCGAAGAAGCAAGATGTCTCTATCAATTCTAGAGTTTATATCTTTTCCTTCTGTGGGCTTTGATGGAGTTGAAGACAATTATGGCATAGGGAGAGATCTCTAGGTATCTGTGGTGCTGACCCTTTTGAGTGTGGCCACAGGTGTTTAAAGGGCATGTGGGATCAAGGACTCAAGAAAGGGGTGCTTGTCCTCTCACCAGGTTCCAGTCGGGTCTTAGAGTACTGCTGAGACTAACCTGGGTTATCAGTTTCTTATGTAAGTGATTTCCCCTTAATAAATTAACCATCAATATCCATATCCAGTGCACAGTTATTTTCCTCTACATTATGGTTATAGTTTTCCTTAGTTAGGATAAAAGGTAAGTTACATATAAGACTTTAGACTCACAAAGATAGGATAGATGATAGAATATTTTCTTTAAATCTTACTAAATGTTCATGAACTAAATATTGTAACTATAGTTCTTACTTGATAACTGTTATGTTATATATAATTTTACTATATTAAAGTTTAAACCTTTCTTTTAATTTAGACAGAAAAGAGGAGATGATCAGAGCTGTCTTTCTGTATGTATGTTTGCCTTATTGGTTGATGAATAAAATACTGTAACCAGTAGGGCAGCAAGATAGGCAGGTCTAGGAGATGTGGAGGATTCTGGGAAGTGTAGGCAAAGAGGAGTCAAAATGTGATCCCTGGAAGAGAGGACACCAGTGAGGTGTTCTCTGGTCAGATAAGACTATGTAGAAATACATAGATTAATAGAAATGGGTTAATAATTAAGACAGAGATAGCCAATATGAAGCCCTAGTCACTGGCCAATAGGTTTATAATTAATATAAGTCTTTGTGTGTTCATTTGGGGCTGACATGTCTGTGGAACCAGGCTGGTGGGAAAGAGTTTCTGTAACACATGGTAGTGTACACCTTGAATTTAAGTAGGAAAACTGATTGGTAGAGAGGAGATAAGGGCAGAATAATGGCAAAACAGTTAAATGCTTTACCTGTCAGATATTAATAAATCACAAATGGAAAAATTATACTTTTATATCATGTAACATAGCAACCACAGTATGATTAGATGATCAAGTTTCAAGCCAAGGAACTTGATGCCAAATCTAAAGATTCAAGTTCAGTCCCTGGAACCCATGTGCAGACATACACACACATTCACACACACACACACACACACACACACACACACACACACATACACACACACAGACACATACTCATACACACACACACACACAATAAAAATGAATAGATGATAGATAGATAGAATGAAAAAAATTAAAATAGTTCTACCACTAGGATGTACTTCCAGGAGTATTGGAGACCAAGGAGAACACAGCATATCAGGGCCTGAGTCTGCTCTCAGAGCAGGGGAAGAAACCACAGGTTGGATGACCAATTGTGAATGTGAAGGGCTGACTTGTGTCCTTCTAAAGACTCATTTGTGGAAGACCTCACATATAAGAACTTAGAATGTGGCTATAATGGAGACAGAGTCTTTAAAAAGGTCATTAAGTTAGAATGACATTACTAGTGTGTCCTAATGTAACTGGTGTCCATTTGGAGATCAGTGCATAGACACATGAAGAGAGAGAGGACACCATCCACAATCAGTGACCCAGGCTGCAGCAGACACAGCCTGTGGATACCTTAATGCCTGGCTTCCCGGATCCAGAACTGTAAGAAAGTTAACTTCTATTGACTCACCCAGTCTGTGCTGTCCTTGACACTGCTCTAGGAACTTTTCATCCCCTCAGGCCACCAAGTTCTAGTCAACTTGGTCTAGCAAATGTACCAGACACACCAAATGTGCTTTGCCTCAGAACAAATGAGTTTTCCCTCCATCCAGCACTCTGCTGAGCTCTCACCCACACACCCCAGCTCACTGGTCACATGTTTGAGGGTTATGGGGACATGCAATTTAAAGTAGTGCTCCACCGAGAGTCATCTGAGGCAAGTGACCGGCGTGCCAGACCGTGTTCGGCGGCGGGTTCCGAACACCGAAAACCCAGAGGCAGCCTGGCGTCCATCTGCCGGCCCAGGTAGGCCAGGAGCTGTTTCCGGCTCCTGTTTGTCATAGCTGCTCAGAGTCATCTGAGGCAAACGACCTGAGTACCTGACCAAGTTAGGCAGCGGGATCCGACACCTTGAGGCCGGATGACAGCTCTGCCTCCAATTGCCGGCCTGGAGAGACCCGGCACGCCCGAACACTGCAGACACCTGAGTAACAGTGACACCTCCATCCACGAGAAGAGGACTGACATCAGAGTATTGGATCTGTTTGCATCTACCAGAAGAAAACCTTGGTCCCACACCCACCAGGAGAAAAAGAAACACTTGTTACACCCACCAGAAGAAAGGATGAGAAGAGGACAAAGTAAAAAAGCACATCCAACAACAGAAAACACAATATGACACCACCAGAGACTAGGAACCATACACCAGCAAGACCTGAACATCACAATGCAGATGAACCAGAAGAGAATGACCTTAAAAACATCTTCATAAAATGATAGAGGACCTCAAAGAGGACATGAGAAAATCCCTTAAAGAAATTGAAGACAAAACAAACCAAAAAATACAAGATATCAAAAAATCTCTCAAGGAAACAGTTCAAGACCTAAAAACTGAAATAGAGACAATAAAGAAAGCAC